TTGATTTTTTACGTCTCTTGTATCGTAAAGACCTGAGAGACGAGGTCTACAACCAGTAAGTTTCGGTTCAGCGTTTAAGTGTTATGGGTTGACGCTAAGTGGTTGGTTAGACTGAGCCTGCCTGTGGTAGGCAGAGAGGTATTTCCTGTTAATAGTGAAGCCTGCATTGGGACGGTTGTACCACACTGAGTTCTTGTAGCAATTTTCCAAATAAATAGCTAGTGCTTTGTAGACTTCTAGGGCCACATTCTTAGGTATTCTTTTGCGCTTAGACCAGTTAAGCCAGTCATTACGGGAGCAACGACCATCAAATTCTATCCTAAGTTGAGAGGATTCTGAGATATCAGGAGGGAAACGAATCTTGTTAAGGCTAAATTTCTGGGAGATAGCGTCCCATGTGGCATACAGTTCATCCTTTTCAGGATTGCATTTGGGACAAGTTTGGAATACGTGGGTCCAATCTTCCTTGACATTACATTTGTCACAAATACTGTCGTTACCTAGTAAAATTGAGTGGTGGAGATTAAAGTAGAGGAGTCTTTGCTGATAATAAGACAAGAGAGAGTTTCTCCAGAAGGAGAGAGTGCTATTATGCCAATTATAGTCATTGTCTAATTGGCCCAACTTATTAATAATTTTCTTGGATCGCTGAGTTTCAATGATAGCATTTCTAAGGTTGGCCTGCTTAATACCAAAGAAAAATCTCTACTAAGCTATTTCAAAATCTGAAACTGTTTTAAATTTATTTGAGATACCTCTAGAAGTAAATGAATCTAGTCAGTAATAGTGCTGGTTTGATAATAAATATTGTGACGATAAGGAAATACTGTTATTAAAGGGATGAAACTTGGAGGGATGATTCTACACATCCATTGGAGCATCTTCATGATATTGGAATGATGTTCCGATATTGTACATGACAATTACAATGCTATTGAAGAAAGTAATAATGAAAATGTTATATATTGTCAAAATAAATAGTACTACTAGAAGAAAGTTTTTGATTTGGTCAAGTAGATGATGAGGTATGGTCCATGTAGCAACTAATGGTGGTCAATTTTGCCAATTTACAAAATGTTTCGATATCCTGTCGAATGAATCTGCTGTTTGTTCCAATGGAAACGGAAAATGTATACAATTCGATATCTGTCAATGCCTTCCAGGTTATGTTGGAATGAAATGTGAATTTCCAACATGTTTTAATTTAAATTCAACCAATTCTAATATTTGCTCAGGAAATGGAAATTGTTTTTCTCCAAATAATTGCTCATGTTACGATAGGTTGGGTTTGGATCCCATGTCAACCCCTATTTATTAAGCTTTTCTCCTTAAATACATTAACAATATATATCACAAATGATGTCAAAAGATGGTGATTGTAATGGGGCACAATATACGGCTGATGTGAAATTGTTAAATATTTATATATATCAAGTTATGATGGTGGCTAGTGGTAATAAAATCACTTGATCAAAAGTATTTTTGTCGCTTGATCAAACCGCCAAACGCGCGGAAAAGTTAAAAATAGATTCAAGTTGATGTGAAAATGGCTCAGAATCGAAAGGATTAACAAAGCTTACTACTATATTGGAAGTGAAAGTGCCATTTGGCACTCACTTCCATCAACTTTATCACAGAAATCACTCTTGAAACATAAATTGTACTAGAACGGATGAATAACATACTGGTGTTGGAATTGATCAATAACTCTATGAAATGACTGATATGGAACGTAAACTTTCTTCTAAGGTAAGTTAGTGGAATTTAAGATACTGAGCCATGAATGTGAAACTTTCTCAGATTGTTCTCCTCATCTAGGAGAGTGTATTCATATTTGATACTTGTATGATATTTTGAAAAATAAATGAGATGGAGTATATTCTATATGTTGAAATATGACAATTTGACAGATTGTTATTATTATCATATTGAATTCAATTCTAAAACATTAAAATTGATTCCAGTTGTATAATAGTGTGACTAAATGTATCTGGTAAAGTTACATGATGGTTGAATGTACTTTCGCTGAGATAGAGTGTACACTTGGATATAATCACTATTGACATTGAACATTTACTGATTGACTGAATTAAAGTATCATGAATTGTTTTTAAACTTGTATAGATGTATATACATGGTGTACAGAATGTGTGTTATCAGTTCTAGACTAATTGCATATAAAATAAGTGAGTTGGAGCATAATCTTTGATTTTATGTCAAAGTTCTATAGTAAAATGATAGAGTTGACAACTCAATATCTACTGAGCCAATACTCATGAAATTGATATTATATGCTAATTAGAGTGTCTACATATCATGGTATCAATTTCAGTGAAAATGGAGTTGTTTCTATATCCTTCAGATTTCCAGCCATTCCCTTGAAATATCACCATGTACTATCTAACGGATGTATTTCTTGAAATGAAATTATATAATTTGATGAAAGTCCACTTTATTTGAGATGTGGAACTCGATATTATCATTTATTTTGAGATTGGTAACTTTTCCTATAGTGTCATCCTTAATTGTCTTAATTGACTAAAAGAGGTCAAGAAGAGATTTCAAAACATAAAATAAATTATATTTTCGAGATGTACTATTGATTTCCAATCGATTGATATGTATTTTGTTGATTGAGGATTTGGTTCTCTATATTCAAGATTTCCTCCTGATCTTCAAAGTCAACCTTGATATTTCACCCTTTACCTTACTGAAAGATGGAATGTTCAACAGAATGTCTGAAAATTGATCCACATACGTTGTTTGAGATGTATAACATGATGGTAAAGTTGCATAGAGTGATCATTTTCCAGATTTTCATCCATGTCCACAGTTGACTAATTGGTATGATAGAGTTGAAATCATGAACATGAAAGTGAAAATAAACTTGATTTTCTATCTCTACTCGTAGAGTGAAGCATTTTCATGTATATATTGTTGGTTGAAGTGATGTATTTGATAGAGTTGGTGTGACTTGTCTTTCCTTAAAGTCAACCATAAAATATCAACATTTACCTTCCCATGATACCATTTCTGATTATTAAGACATGAAATTGAATTCTATATCATTATATATCATGT